GGTGCCTGGGGCGGGGGTGGCGGCAGTGGTGGCAGCGTCTGCGATGATGGGTGGCGGCGGTCCCAATAATACGTGACACCGCACATGGCGACACATCAGTAAACATCGATAGCACCGGGACGTAAACATCGATAGCGCTGGGACTTCCAGCGCCTCCCCTCCCTTCCCCGCGTCTACCAGTACTTCCCGCGCCTACTCTCCCGCGCCTATGAGTATCCTCGCGCCCCGCGCTCCCCTCAAAGGACCTGAGTTAGAACCCGCCTATTATTCCTACTTCGAGCGTATGCAAAAATGTATCAATCTTAAAGGCGAAAACTTCGAAAAACAATAAAGCTATTTACTGAATTTTACATGTTTTTTTTTCATATCGTTTGCAGAAACTTTTCCAGCAGCCTATGTATAGAAATATATATCAAGATCGTTGTTTAGAAAAGGAATCGTGCATCCTTGTCGCATCAGCGATGATGCCAAATCAAAATCGATAGAAATCACATTCTTGAACGAATTATCGAAACGGAAGTATGACAGAGTGAGACTGAGAAAAAACAAAAAAGGATAGAAGTTCCGATTGTAATCGGTGAGGCTCCGCATGCCGAGTTGGGCTCGTCGAGCGAAACAGCGAGTCTATCCTTCAGAGTCTGTCTCTCTCTTTATAGTCGCTTGTTTCTAGCGACCGAAAATGCTTTCTGAGCAATTTCGACCGTTCAACGTGTATAACTAAGAGGAAAAGGAACATTATAGATAACGTATATGTTTTAATAATTATATTAATCCTATATTCCTCCAATTTACGTATAATAGAAATAATTTCAAAATTCGATAATTTACGAGATATTGACATTTCCATGATTTTTCATGAACGTTATATATCACGTTTATAGAAGTGATTTGCAAAACCTCGGCGTGGTCTCGCGCGTAGGGTGCGAGATCTGAAAGATCTGTTAAAGATCCCACGATCGATTCTTTTTTTCTTTTTTCGTAATTTTTTTTTTAAATAAATAAGTGACATTATTAATAAACACATATTACAGGCTAAATATATTTTTATTTAATTATTGAAATTATATGCGTTAATTATATTTCTAAAAGTTTTAAACCGACAATTTTAGCAAAAAATAATTCGACGTAGTATGCGTTGAATAGATAGAAAACCACTATTTTTATATGTAAATGAGATCTTTTACCTTTAGAAAAAAATCCGAAAAGAAATCATGTTTTTGTAATAATTACGTTTCATATCGATTAATACTTTTTATGAAATGTTTTTTTTTATAACTATCATCCGAATGTATAAAAATTCTGAATCAAATCGCAAAAGTGCGATGATTAATATAATTATAAGGATGATGTCAATATAATTTTATAATTCACAAATCAAAAAGCCTTTATATGTACAATATACAAACAATTTTTTATTCATCTATTGAAGTGATTTGGTATTCTTCCTATAGTTGTTGGAGTACATATTAAATTTTGGACCGACTTTTGAAACCTTCTTTTTCCCCGCCGCCACCGCTCAACGCTTGACGGCTGAATCGTTGCACCGGATCGCGCGCGTATCTCTCAGCAGCATTGCACTATAAGAAATATGCTGCGATGTACCTTCCAGCAAATTATCAATCCTTTACTTAGTCTTGTTTATTCAACATGTTATTCACATGTTGAATAAAGAAGACATCACGCAGTTATTAGAGTTAAGTCATCATTCCAGTTTAAAATTACGCATCTTGTTCTATGTCGACTCTTATTAGCCTTAAATTGGTATTATTAATATTCTATATTAAAAGATATTACATTCTGTGGCACAAAAGCGTGATCAGTAGCTCTTTGAAAGAAACCGAACGTATCATAAAAATAATAAAGTAATATTTTAAAAGTACATTACATTCAGTAAAATGTATTTATTTATTAATATGACGTTCAGTCATTATTATTAAGAAAAATAACAATTATGTAGGAAGGAAAATATTTTCATGATAATTTGCTGGAAGGTCGCAGCATGTTTCATATACTGTGATGCTTCTGAGATGCACGTTTGCACGCGATTTAGCGGTTCGGCCGTCGAGTGTTGAGTGTTGTAAGGGAAAAGTAGGTAGCATTTCAGAAATTGGCTCGAAATGTGCAACTAATTTTAAATACACTGAAGTACACATATAATTTCTATAATATTATAAAAATATATTTGGAAGTATATATTTGGAGTAATATGTTTATTAATAACGTCATTTATTAAAAAAAAAATTATGAAAAAAGGAAAAAGCAGGATCGAACGTAGGATCTTCAACATTCTGATCTCGCAGCTAACTCTCGAGACGCTGAGTTTTTGTGGATCACCTCTACGAACGCGGTACATAAAATATACGGAAAATCGTAAACTATATCTCGTCAACTATCATGTTTTGAAATCATATTTGCTATTATATGTGACATATTAATGAGAAAGGTATATGATTAATTCTTTCGCTTACAATATCGTGTGGGACTCGTGGTAAAAAAATCGGGTCAAACATGAGTATCATAGGTGAGAGCCGTAGTACGTCTATCGGGCCAAATGTAAACAATATGTTCCAGGCTGTTGATTATGTCACGTGCCATCGTAACTTAAATCGTAGGGCAAAGAGTTAATATAATTTAATAAAAGTTATATATTATCTAGAATGTCTCTTTCCCCCTTATGATACACTCCAAGCGGCCGAGATCGCCGAGAAAGTATTTTCGATCGCTAGAAACGAGCGACTACAGAGAGAAGGACAGACTCTGAGAGACAGACTCGCTGTTTTGCTAGACGAGCCCAGCTCGGCGTGTTCGCGCGGATTGCAATCGAAGCTTCTATCCATTTTTGTTTTTTTTCTGTCTCGCTCTATCGAGATAACGGAAAATGAAAGAATTTTAAATCACAAACACGTTTGCCAGTTCTCCGTTTTTTTCTGACAGACTTCAGTTTCTTGGGCTCATATTCGATATTCCAGTAGACATGAAAATCTCCAATTTTTGTAAATTTTTCACGTCTGCTGTAGTATCGAATATTAGTCCAAAAAAACTAATCACTTTGTGATTTAAAATTTTTTTATTTTCCTTTTATTAAATTATATTAATTATATATCTTTCTCATTAATATATAATAGCAAAAATGATTTCAAAACGTAATTATTGATGAGATATAGTTTACGACTTTCCGTGCGCTATATGTTCCACGTCATAGAAGTGATCCGCAAGAATTTAACGTGGTCTCGGGCGTTAGATGCAAGAATGTTGAAGATCTTATGTTCGATCCTGCTTTTTCTATTTTTTCATAATTTTTTTTTAATAAATAGCGTTATTAATAAATATATTACTCCAAATATATTTTTTATAAAATTATAGAAATTATATATGTGTACTTCAATGTGCTTGAAATTAGTTGCGCATTTCGGATCGATTTCTGCAGTGCTGCCTACTTTTCCTTCAACCGCTCAACGCTTGACGGCCGAATCGCTGGATCGCGCACGAACGTTCATCTCAAGAGCGCCGCAGTATAAGAAACATGCTGCGACCATACCTTCCAGCAAATTATCATGAAAATATTTTCCTTCCTACATAATTGTTATTTTCTTAATAATGGTGATTGAACATCATATTAATAAGTAAATGCATTTTACTATATGTACTAATGTACTTTTAAAATATTACTTTATTATTTTTATGATACGTTCGGTTTCTTTCAAAGAGCTACTGATCACGCTTTTGTGCCACAGAATGTAATATGGAATTTTACTTTATCGCGTCATCTATTTGTATTTTTTTTTTAGTGGAATAAACCTGGAGAATGTACTTAAATGACGTATCAATAATAGAACTTCAAAAATAATAGAATTTTTGCAATAACGCGAATCCAGATACGATGAACGCCTTTTCTTAATTAATCGCTACGAAGAAGATAATGTGATCATGATATCCATTATCTTTTTTTCTAGGGTGAAAACGTGAAAAGTGAAAATTTTTTATATGTATGTATGTATATGCACATGCATATACCGTTTTGCGTGACGCTGTAGAAAACAACATACGAATCAATCAGCTGTAACCAGTATGACCAGCGTTCACAGTATCGTTGCCGCGCAACAATACGATCAATTCAGTGTAGTATTCTACTATACACACACCCGTGTGTGTGTGTGTGTGTGTGTGTGTGTGTGTGTGTGTGTGTAGAATATATATATGTGTATATGTTATATATATATATATATATATATATATATATATACTTATTTATTTATTTATTTATTTACTGTTTTGTGTCCACAAAAATAGAAAAAATATAGTAGCAGAAAATTGTTTGCCTTTGGTAAGAGAAGGTTATGGGTGCTTTCTAACAAGCGACTCACTTAGTACAACACAGTGATTATCTCATCCTTGTATTGGCGAACATCAAGACTGTAATGATGCATCGTGTCATACCGTATCATACTGTGTCTGTTGGAAGACATTCTGTAAAGCCAAAATTGGTTAAAAGATTATTGAGATGTGTTTCTTGTTGGAAGGCACCCTATAAAGCCAGAATGGGAAAAGTTAGTATCTTTATATTATTCGTGAAAATATCACTTTTATTTATCATATAAGTGATTTGGTTAAATGTTATAACAATAAATTGTGCTTTGCCTAATTATGATCCAATGTCAGAGCGTTCATCGTGGGCTGACTATTTTTATTTTACTGCCAGAGACATTTCGATTATCAAATCTGGTGAAATATGATTGCGGAACCAATTTGTAGAATTTTGCGTCTGCAATTGAAGAAATATGAATAGATGCATTGTCATGATGGAATCAAAAGCTGATTGCTTGACATGACCGAAACAAAGAAACTAATGAATACATCTGTCTGAAATTTTAACAGTAATCCTGTAAAGGATCAAACTTTTCTAAAATTATAGCATTTTGATATTGTGGGATAATTTCTATATTAGATCGAGAAGTTTTTGTACTTATATTCTCATATAAATCAACATATCAATAATAACTATGTATTAGACTCTAAAAATAGCATTGTTTCATTAAAAAAACATAGATGAGACCTTGATCTGATTTTGCAAATGCTCAAGGTCAAATTGAATATCAGTATATAGTTTCTTTGAAACCTTACAACTTTTGTCTGAAACGTTTCTTTTAAAAACATTATGTAAAGGCATTATAGCACAAGGATGGCCGTAATTGAGTCGTAGAACATGAATCATAGTCATAAGTCAATACATTATATTTTGGCGTACTATGTCAATACAAATACAATTCACATTCCTTCATAATTTTTTTTTATAATCACCTTTATGTTCAGCTTATAAATCCAGGATCTTTTTGGACACGCTATAAAATATAATATATTATTATATATGTTATGTATATATGTGCTATACATATATATAACATACATTACACAGTCAATAATCATATGCATAATTTTCATAAAACGCTGTACGTTTATGAAATGTATATAAGTATATCATATTCAAAGTGTTTCAGTAAATGTATACATTTATAGGTCACGTTGACTAACAGCAAGTTATAATAAGTATTAGGAGTACAAATTAGTTCGGTTCATTTTTTGTGTTCAAAAATGCATTTATTTCAAAACAAAATGAATGAACAGATTAATTAAAGTATTGTCCATCGCTGGCTACTACTTTTCCCCATCTCTCAGGCAATTTTCGAATTCCATCTCAAAAAAATAACTCGTCTTTGGAGGCGATCCAATTTTGGAGTCAATTTTCGATTTCTGCGAAAGAAGTGAACCGATGACTTGCCAAATCGTGCTGCATCCTTCGGAACAACCAGTAATCAGAAGGAGCAATGTCCGGAGAATACGGCGGGTGCGGTAAAACATCTCATTTGAGCGTTTCCAAATATTTTTTTACGACTTTAGCGATATGAGGCCGAGCGTTGTCATGAAGAAAAATAACTATCATGTCTTTGCTCGTATTCCGGCCGTTTTTCTCGCAATGCACAACTCAAACGAATCAATTGTAGCGGATCAGACGCCGCCCGTAATGGAATCGCCAGGTTTCAGCAGCTCATAGTAAACAACACTCTTTTGGTTCCACCAGATACAAAGCATGGTCTTCGAACCATGAATGTTCGGCTTTGGTGTTGACGTTGAAGTCGATGGCAACGATTGACCGGGCTTAGCGTAGTATTTTTTCCAGAAACGGCTTGTTGAGTTACTCCCAATGATTCTGCAAGCTCCTCTTGCGTTTGACTCTGATCTTCTTCGAGTAATGCCTCCAATTCTTTGTCTTCGAATTTTTTTGGCTGTTCAGAGCGAGGCTTGTCTTCAACGCTGAAATCTCCATCTTTGAAATGTCGAAACCATTCCTTACATGATTTATCAGTTGGAGCAGTGTCACCAAAAACAAACTTCGACAAGCATTCGATGGGCTTCAGCTACATTTTTCTTCCAATTAAAGCAAAAAATTAGAACCTCCCGCAAATGCTGCTTGGTTAATACAAAATTCGACATTTCAAACACAGTAAAAGTCAAGGTTTTTGTATGAAATTCAAAGCGATATAAACTGAATATTATTAGCAGATGTCTAACCTCTCTGAAAACTCCAAAGTCAGTTGTCACTATGAACCATTCACAACAGCCGGAGCCAGCTTTTGGAAAATTAACCGAACTAATTTGTACTCCCAATATATTTTTACTAAATGAACACTTTGACTATGACGTAGCTATATCTTCGAATGCAAACATGTATTTGAAATACATGTATACACGTGTAATGTAACAGCACTTTTTCCTTTGTTCGCAATGTCATTTTAACTTAGGATGTAACATGTATTGTCAGTACATAAATACATTGCACATACATATGTATCTATCCATCTCTTTTTATTATGTTTAATGGACCTTTTACAATAATAAGCCATAAATCAGTCATAAATTAGAAGTCAGACATTAAAAATTGATGACTATGATTGATCAATTTTTTAGCTTCTGACTTCTGATTTATGACAAATGGCTTATTACAGAAGGCCCATAATAAGAAGAGACAAAAGTTACTCATACCTAGCTTTTCATCGTATGATGTAGACACAATAGTGAATATTAGAATTATATTTTACGTGCATTATGATGTACACACATTACAAAACATAAAATATATTTCTAATTCATATTCACATACGTGTGTAGCTACTTCATCTCTTTTTGTTACGTATAACAAATGCTGTACTGATGTCTTCTTTTTTCTACGTTTAATAAAAAGAGATATGTTTTTTATGATCAAATATACAGATATTAGTGATCTATGCTTTTATATTTTGAATATCAGAATATACATACAACTAACATAAATCAAAGTTAATGAGAGTCAAACGCAGATGATTAGACGTAACATCTTACAAAAAATAATTAAATTAGGAATCTCCTCTGATAAATGATATCTTTTCTTTATACATTTCAACTCACTTTGAAGTCTTCTTGCAATATATATATTATAGATATATTATGAAAAGCACACAAATACAAAATGATTATCACTCGCAAATTGCCAGAGATGAAGTGATGTTTAATTTTAGTAGATAGACAGCGTGCCAAGAAGCTTCGATACATAATTGATCACAAAATTACATTTATACAAATCTATCTACTAAAATTTTACATCACTTCATCTTTGGCGATTTGTGAGTAACATAATCTTTTTGGATATGTGAGTTTTTCATTATACATCTACATTGCCTCATTAGCCTTGATTTATGTTAATTATACGTATATTTTATAGATTTAAAGTCCTCTATGTAATAATTGTTTTTTTCAATATTAGATTATTGCATGCGTGTGTATTATGATGTGTAAATATCTACACAAATTAGAGCTAGAAGTAATTTATACTGAAGTATTCATGCAGATATTTCCTATGTTTTGTATGTGTACATTTGTACAATATATATTATATATGTATACATACAATTTTAATATTGCATATTTAAACATAGGGAATGCATAAATAGCTTAGCATTGGTAACTTCTATCTGCAACGTGTGTATATTCACACATTATAGTATACATATATGCAATATTGTATAATATTGCTTATATGTGTATTATATTTAAGTACACACACCACTAATATCTGTATATTTTAACATGAGTAACTTCTACATCTTTTCATTAAACGTAATAAAAAATGGAGCAGCTAAGTATATTATATATATATATATATCTATGTATAGCTAATACATGTTACATGTTACATTCATGAATACGAATTACAATTACATTTTATGTGAATTATAATGTATGTACACACACAATGACACAAAATATTATTCTATTATTGCATATAGACATATTAGTGAATTAATGATATATGCAATATTAAAATTATATTTTGAGTGTGTATATATATGTTATTGTGTATATGTACATTATAATACATATAAAATATAATTATAATTTATATTCACTAATGTTTTTTTATATATGTTACAACAATGTTAGAATTATAAATGTTATGTTTGTGCGATGTGAATACACACATTATACAATGTATGTACATAAAATTCTAATATTGCGATAAATAGATAATATCTGCATGATTATTTCAACATGAGTAACTTTTATCTGTTATGTAATGCGCGCGTGCGCGCGCGCGTGTGTGTGTGTGTGTGTTCACATTGTATAATATACATACAATTGTTTATATCGGATATATAAGTCGACATGTTAGTAATGTAAGTACTATAAGTGTCTATCCCTTTTTATTGGATAGAGACAAAAAAGAATTACATTATGTATATGCAATATCATATTCATTTATTGATAATATATTATTGTAATCTAAAATGGTATTGGACGTAAAAAAGTGCTACTACGACTTCATATCTATATAACTATTAGTTAAAAATCTGTACTTTATGTATATATTACAGATTTTTACTAGTGGTATATATTGGAATGCGGCCTACATTGCATGTGTACATAATACAACTATATTTCTAAGACCCGATTCCACAAATATAACATTAACTTCAATTTCGGTTTATTTTTTTCTCAATTCTAAAATTGGACAATTTTCCAAAATAAAATAAATCTTACATTTGTGGAGCCGAGCCTAATACATGTTTTCATCCCTGCTAAGATGGTAATGTAGGAAACGAAAAAAAAATATCGATAATTAATCGATCGAATTTCCTGCATGATCATATTAACTCATAGGATGTAAGCATCTTACACATTTAAAATGAAAACTTCTAATATCGACCTTTATTAAGTTCAGCTTTCGCTCCAGCATTCCCTTAACGTGTTAAATCATTATCTCAGAGGTTCCTGCGAATCCGCATGTGTTTCCAAAAATTGTAATATATCCTATGCGTAATTATAATTAATAAATTGTGGAAGTACATTAATTCCACATAAGTTTATATAAAAATAATAAAAATATATAAGAATTGCATTAAAAAACTAAACACATTTTTTTTCACTGAATTGCTACCGTCAACAAATTACTTAATTCCCGTTTACTTTGTAGAATAAAATGTAAAACTATTCTATTAATAAATATGCTGATTGTATATTTCATTCGTTTAAGATAATTATCTATATTGACTTATATTTAATTATATTCACTTTATATTTTTGTGGGCATTTCATGTGTTTTATTTATCGAATGAAAATTCAGTTACTTCAACTCAATGCAGAATTTCTTTAATAAAATATTTCTATTAATAAAATAAATATCGGTTTGTTCTATGAAAATTTTTTGTCAAAATGACAAAATGTGCATCAAATATTTAAATTGTTCGTTAAATATATGAATTAATACACAAACTGTATATTGAAGTCATTTAACAAAGTTTTTATTTGTACTGAATATACATTGGCCAACAAAATTAACAAAATATCTGTTTCACTTTGCAAAAATAAGTATTTCAAAATAAATTTCGTCAAAAATCGTCGCATCGAGATGTTTAAAAAAGCATTTACAGCACCTCTACTTTTCGTTACTTTAAGAAACGGTTTCATGGAGATTTTATGAAGTTACATAAACATAAATAAAGATATATCAGATCTCAAAATTTTTTACAAAATTTGCGGAATTCCACGGAGTAGATTAAAAATTGTACACAAATGCGATTTACATAATTCGAAAGAACGAATCTTTACCTTATTTGCTTTTTTACGAAGCTCGTACGATTTTTTTTCATTGAGTTATTCAACGTTGAAACAAAAATGACCTTTTGCTTCGTAAAAGAGCAAATTAAAAGTAAAGATTCATTCTTTCGAAAGATATAAATCGCATTTGTGTACAATTTTTAATCCACTCCGAACTCCCGAATTTCATAAAAAATTTTGAAATGATATCTTTATTTATGTTTATGTAACTTCATAAAATTTCCATGAGATTGTTTTTTAAAGTAGCGATCTGAAAAGTAAAGGTTTCAAGATGTAAAATACTTTTTTAATTATCTTAATACGACGATTTTTGATGAAGTAATTTTACCTTGAAATTTGTTTATTTTTGCAGATTAAACCAGGTATTGCGTTATTTTATTGGCCAATATATATTTTGTTACTTCGACTACTTTATCTTTCGGTGCAGACTTCATATATATAGTTCCAAAAACAAAATTTTAGTTGTATTTTTTATATTTTCGTGAATACAAATTTTAACTGTATTTTATATAATAAATAAAATTGAATATGTATTCACACACATCAAACTATTTATGTTGTTGTTTCAAGTAAGTTTTCGTTTGAATGCAAAGTGATTTTATTGCTTGGAATCAACATTTATATGAGACCAAAAAATTTATTTATATTCAACTTGAAGTTCATATATCAAAAAAATATTGTATTACAATATCTGTGTATGTTTTCACTGAACTCTCAATTTTGTTGATTTAAATAGTGTTTGTTTATAATAGTAACAAATTATTTTGTTATATATTACACATGTTTATTTGCACGTATTGGACTAAATAATTTGGTTACATGAAACAAATTTCGCGTTTTTTAATAAATTTTTAATTTCAGTGTAAAAACAAAGTGGTATGTCGGTATCGATGATCTTCCCCTAATTAATATTATTTGAATTTTTTTAAGTTTTTTAATTAAAACAATTTTTTTGCCTTTAAAATGTTTTTATTTAATATCTAATTTTTAATTTTTATGTTTGCCTGTTTTATTTCATACTTTTAAAAACAACGTGTGTATGTGAATTTCTATGTCGCATGCAAAAACATTTTTATGTTTTATTATGTTTTAAAGAATTTAATTTTTTATTTTTAATCTTTATTTTAAAAAATTTTGTATTTTTTAAATTATTTGTCTTTATTAGTTTTTGTTTCTGAGTTTTTAAAATTATATTTTTTTTTTATTTTTTAATTATATATATTTTTTAATTTTTTTAGATGTTTCAAAATTTTTTAAATTAAAATAAATTTAAAGTAATTAATATCTTGTTAATTATTGTGAAAATTAGTAAAGGATTTTTCGACTCAGTTTAGTCTGTTCTATCTACACACAAGCACTTCAAAACTTATTGAACACTGTATATTACTTATGTGATAATATGCTTAAAATGATTTCCCGAAATATTTAAATCAACCATATTAACATATCAAGAATTATCTACGTATTAATAATCAAATTCGATCACACGAACGATAACGAATTAACTTTTATTTATATTGTACGTATTTTCCGTGAGCCATGTGTGTGCATTAATCCGCCTGTTGCGGCTGTACTGTATGTTAAGATGATAGTAGCAAAACCTGATTGAATCAAAGTGGTCAATCGGATGAATTAGAAGGACATTTAGGATATCTGTCATTTGTAGTTTAAATTACTCCGAATAATACAGCGTGTTCTGGACTTAGCAGCATCACGGGGAGCTGCGCGTGCAGGGTCGCGGGAGGTGGATGAGGGACGGATGGAAGAGGAGACTGAGTGCACGCCGAGGTAGGTCGTACGTCTGCTTTTGTCAAGCCACAACACGAGCCGCAGCTTTAATACAATACAATACTGTCGAGAGAGTGGAGATGAGAGGTAGTGAGCCGGAGGAAGAGAGTTGGCGAGGAGATCGCAGACGCGCACAAGTGCAAGCGAGAGAAAGTTCGGTACGGATAGCAAAATGCTGTGTGTGTCAGTAAGTAACCGTCTAGATTTGTACGCCCCCTCGCCATCCTGGAAAACCCAACAGACTGCTAGAGGATATGTCAGATTCAGCCGCGTATGTTTTGCAAGAGCCTTACTACCCGCTTCTCCTCTCTTTTCTCGCTAGTCCACCCTTCTCTACCACCCTCTTTGCTGTTACGTATCCCTTTCTCTCGTGTCATATTCCATAGTTACAGCGGCATAGTTACAGGGACGGATTTATGTGAAAACTGCTGAAATTTAAACTTTTAAGGCCAAACTTAGAGGCCCTAAAATTAACAAAAGAGTATTTCGGAGAATACTTCGTATAAGGAACCGTTTAGCAATTTTCTTAAAATTATTAATTGTATAAAATCGAGATAAATAAGTTTTCTTTAATATTTCTTTATTTAATTAACTGCTTTTTATTGAGCACTTTAGAGAAATATTATTTTTATATTTTGAAAACTCACCATTCGTTTCTGATTATTGAACTCTTCTTCAAATTTTCAGAAATACGAATCAATCAATACGAATCATCTTCGTGTTACATACTATTCAAGAAAAAGCAAAAGGTTTATTTTCTTCAGCTTATTAGAGATATCAAAGATTAATAGCTTCAAGCCTCGAAAAATCAACATCCGCTCCTGTACACTTGTATATCACCCTTGCAAATCTGTCGCTATAATTCCCCCACGCGAGCCATCCTTCTCGCGAATTCTGAGTTTTTGCTACGTCGCTTATGCAAGCGAAATCCCGGGTATCTGCGGATAATTTCGCGGACCCTAGCGAGTTTCCTGCACGGAAATCTTCCGCCATATGGCGCGCAGTTCGTGAATCCCCATCGTACGCTAATGTTTTGTTTTAGATCGCATAAGGTACGGCTGATTTTGTCATTGCTATATTCTACGTAGCATAAAATATCTATAAGTTTAATGTATTTTTTTAAGATCTTGACGAGTGCTTCTTCAATATGTAATTAAATTATTTTTTAAATTGCGAACAACGTAAACGATTAATGTACACATATGTCAACATTATTAGTGCTCATGGACCTACTCAGGATTTAGTTAGGCAAGAAAGACAAAAAAGCATATAATCATATGAAAAAGGTAATTTCAATCAGCTGAAACTGAATATTTTGCAGATTATTAGATGTTAATCAAATTTACTTATGACGCTAGCTACTTATCCTAGCGTCATTTGAAAGTTGGTATTTTGGATCTAATTGTATGGAAAAGAAAAAAAACAGTGGAAATAAATATTTGTGTCAAATTACATTAAATATGCTAAATTTTATTGACCCAGCATAATCATATAATATTGCAGCCTATATGAAAAATTAGATTATATTAATTTCACATGCAATATGTTTTCAAGGTACCATTGAACATGGAATTTTACAAATAAAATAAAGTCTCGCGCTAGGAGCACGCGTATAGTACAATCTTGATATGATAGATATACATATATGCCCCTATAAAAACGTATAATTTCAATGGCCGTTTTGTATATGACTTTATATACTAATTTTTATACATATATAATATTAAACCTTAAATGTATAGGAATTAAATTTAGGCAAGAAAAGAATTTTTTTTAATTTTTGACATATGCTATTCACTGATAGCACAGAAAGTTTCAGTTGTGTTACAGGAACCTTCCAATGTCTCAATTGTGTATCATTTGTAATATTTCTGAGATCTATCTATTTTGAAATATTATATAAATTAATTACATTATATTAATTATTATATTAATTAATATATAATAATTGCAATTACCTTGATTGAAACTTTATGTCCGAAATGTTCCTGTAATGTATAAGTTTTTCATGTATATATACATAAATATATAATATATAAATATATATGTTATTTTATATATATGCAGAGAGGCTTCTACAGGTCATTGTAATAAGCTATAAAGATGTAAACATTAATCCTTTATTATTCTTTTTCTATCATTTCACGAAATGTTTCGATCGTACTTAGTCCTCTTCAGCCACGTATTATAAAAATAAATAAAAACTCTTAACAATAATTATAAGAACATTAAAATCTTATAAATTAATTTCGGTGACGGTTACAAAAGTATTAATCAGATCAACTCTTCTACAATCACAATATGCTCAACCATGTTGTACTGAGTCGAATTCTAAAACATATATAAAATGTAGATCCAAACCAATTCTTCAATTAACAACGAGAAAGAGTGATCAAAGTGGTCAGAAAAGACAGTCTAGTCATAAATACAATGGTAACAATATTTCCAGATGTATAAGGTGGTTGTATGTTCGAAAGAAAAAAATGTAACTTTCACTTTGTGCAGAACAATTAAACAGCTAATAAAAATTACAACTATTATTAAAAAGTATATTATTAGGTGTTGGAATTAATTCGTAGCGTTTTTAATGAAAGAATGTTATTTATTTCACATGAGCATTAAAAAATACATTAATGAAAGTACTTCCCATCACTTGTAAAACGCTACGAATTAATTCCAACACCTAATACATTTTTCAAATAGTTGTGAAGTTCAACAAAATTAAAAAATTAAAAAATCGTAATGTCGCAGATTTTCATAAATCAAATATAGTAGTTTCATGAAATTTAAAAGTTTAAAAAGATAAATGATAAAAAGATAAAGATTGTTAAATGTCAATAATAATTTAATGTAATATTAATGTAATAATAATTAATGTAATATTGTTAAATCACAATACATAAATTGTTCCAATAATATTAGGTGTTGGAATTAATTCGTAGCGTTTTTTAATGAAAGAATGTTATTTATTTCACATGAGCATTAAAAAATACATTAATGAAAGTACTTCCCATCACTTGTAAAACGCTACGAATTAATTCCAACACCTAATACAATCACTTATAATAATGGAGTAGTCAAATTGTAAGGTCTTTTATTCTCTTTAATCCTTCCTTCCTTAACTTCATATTTTTGCAACTTTAAATCGAGTTCTCTTAACAATGATGTGAACGATCTTCACTGTACAGACAATAAATCGCAAATGCTGTTGCTTATGTGCGACAGTGTCGGACGACCAGAGAAACACATACTGTTGTTAACAAAGTCACTGAACAGACAGGTCATTGAAAGATTCAGTATTCTTCTTTAAATTTATACCATTAATCTGCTTTTTAATATATAATGTTTCCGAAATAAGTCTCTTATTATAATTCATTTCTAATATTTTTATGTTCTTCCAATTAAAACTATGGTTATAATATACGAGTAACAAATGCTCTGTTACAACAGAATATCTGGATGAATCTACTTTCTTATTATTAATATGTCCATTTTCTCTCGTGTTGAGTCTTCTCTTAGTCTGTCCCACATAAGAAGTGTCGCAATCATTACACGAAATCTTATACACTACATTATTATTGTCAAAAAATTCTTTTTTATTTTTATGTACTCTTATAAATTTGTTTAACTTATTAATGCACCTGTAACCTACATCAAAGATTGTTTGTTTTAATCATACGTGTGGCGGATTGTGTAACACTGTGAAGCACGAAGAATTTTTTTTATTAGTATTTTCATGTTCTGCAAACTTTTATGTGCAACCCTTGGTGAAAGAAATTTTTTGACTCTCAAGTTGATCTGTCTGAATGTCATTTCTAACTGATATCCATTATTCAAAAGTACTTCCACAACCATTTCCAAATTTTTCTGATAGAATTTTAGTTGTAAAAGTAAAATTGCTCTATCAAGAGCAGACTATATATGGTACCCACCTTATCATCGTGGGTGATTCGACAAATAAGGTACCTACTCGAGTAAGTCTTTTTCTAAAACCAATCCACATTTACTACATCATCCTTCATTATCAACAATAGGTCAAGAAAACTTATTCTGTGATTCTCTTCATGTTCTATGATAAATTGTAATCGTTTATGTTATTAAAAGTCTTAAGAATAGATGACACTAAATTAGATGGCACTAACAAATTAGATTTACAATCTTATACCATCTTATACAATCTTTACCATCTTATACATCTGGAAATATTGTTATCATTGTACTTATGACTAGACTATCTCTTCTGATCACTTGGACCACCCTTTCTCGTTGTTAATCGAAGAATTGGTTTGGATTTACATTTTTTATACGTTTTAGAAACTGACTCAGTATAACATAATTGAGTTAGTAACGCATATTGTGATTGTAGAAGAGTTGATCCGATTAATACTTTTGTATACCGTCACCGAAATTAATTTATAAGATTTTAATATGTTCTTATAATTATTGTTAAGGGTTTTTATTTATTTTTATACACGGCCGAAGAGGATTAAATACGATTGAAATGTTCCGTGAAATAATAGAAAAAGAATAGTTAAGTATTAATGTTTACATCTTATTTTTATTATCTATATTTTTATTGTAATTAATTAAGAATATTAATCTTTTAGTAAATAGGTGCTTAGAGAGAGAGAGAGAGAGAGAGAGAGAGAGAGAAGAGAGAGAGAGAAAAAGAACATTTCAAAAATTTTATTTTTATGATTATATTTTTAAATATATTTTATTAATTTAATATATAGAGCTTTAATATAATATACATATAC